ATAGCGTTCATACGAATAAATTAAGCATTTCTGTCAGCTTATCGTTAAAACAGCATCTTACCTCAGTAAAATAACCGTGTCAGAGTTTGTAGAGTTTTCAAACGTCTGCCTTTCTGTCAGCTGAGCTCGCGCGTTTGAATTTCCGCGGGCGTTCCGCGCATGCGCAAAGCATCGGCTCGGGTCACTCCCAAAGGCCGCTCAACAGAGCCCTTCAGCGGCCTGATGAATTTTGACCTTATGAGTTACGGGAAAATTATCATGCGTAACATATTTAAGCCAGTTTTTTTCAGTCTTTTAGGTGCCTCCCCTTACTAAAATGTGAAAATTAATAATATAAATAGGTATAAGATATTATTTGGAAAATATATACTTTCGATTGTCACATTATTTTTTATTTCAATTCAATTTGATTTTAGTGTAATTTTGGATAATCTATCTGAGCAGTATATTATGTAATCATATTTTAATTATTGTTATAAATATTAGATTATTGTAATCCAGTTTGTATTGTGTTTAATGAAGTGTAAATCTTTTTAATAAATCAAATTTATTTGTAAAATATGTATTTTGTATTGTTATATTATTTTATCCTAATAAAATGTATTTCAGTGTAATTTTGGATAATCTATTTGAACAGTATATTATACAATCATAGTTTATTTATTGTTATAAATTAGATTATTTTAATCCAGTTTGTATTGTTTGTTTTTAATGAAGTGTAAATCTTTTTAATAATTTAATGAAATTAGTTGTAAAATATGCATTTTCTATTATTTTTATTTTATTTCTATTCAATTTAATTTCAGTGTAATTTTAGATAACCTATCTCAGCAGTAAATTACGTAATCATATTTTATTTATTGTTATAAATATTAAATTATTTTAATCCAGTTTGTATTTTTATTGTTTGTTTTTAATGAACTGCAAATCTTTTTAATAATTCAATGATATTATTTGGAAAATATGTATTTTTTATTGCTATATTATTTTATTTTTAATTTCTATTTAATTTAATTTCAGTGTAATTTTAGATAGGCTATATCTAAACAGTGTATTATATAATAATATTTTAATTAATGTTATAAATAATGTAATATTTTATTTTAATATAATAATTTTAATAAAGTTTGTATTGTTTGTTTGTTTTTTAATGAAGTGTAAATCTTAATAATAATTTAATTATTTATTACTTTATTTTTTGTGTTTTAAGCATTGGCTCGCCTCAGAGGATCACCAATCCTTGTTTTAAGGATCAAGAAAGGCCCTTGATTTAGCAATCAGATTAAAAAGACAAAACTTTATGCTCAATAGAAGGCAAACAAATCATTTTCTAAATCAATGACTGCATATGTGGCTGCTTCTTTCACTGTGTCATTTTGAAATATTAACTAAGATCAGATGTATTGCATTGGTTTAAAAATCTTTTAATAACCAGAGGAGCAAATTATATGACATCATAAAGGTACAAAGAAACAAATCCTACATTTTTTTGCAGTGAAAATATATTATTTGAGTCTAAAGTCTGTCAATCGCATTAAAACATGACAAATATAAACAAAACATATAAAAATAACAGACATTACACATCCACGAATATTGTGCATCACTTTCACTTCATGTACTTCATAAGTCATATATAATACACCTAAAGCTAAATGATTTTGAAATGTACTTTAATGTAACTTTGATGTGGAAAGTAACATATATAAACCTTCAATTAAACCGGCCCTATGACCTTTATACTTTGCGCTGCACATGTTATCAGATTAAACATTGACAAGTATTTTGTTGTGGCTTGTTGTTGTGAAACCTGCAGTTACTGCAAAGTAAAAATGCCTTCATTGCACAAGTCAAGACAGTCCAGGAAATTAAAGTCCATAAACGAAAGAATGCAAAATTAACTTGGTGACAACTTACACAAAATGTAAGCTATGCAACACACACTACCGGTCAAAAGTTTGAGGTCAGTAGGAGTTTTCAATGTTTTAAAATAAGCTTCTCCTGCTCACTAAGGCTGCATTTATTACATCATAAATACAGTACAAATTGCAAAATTGTGTAATGTTATTGCACTATAAAATAACTATAAAAGTAGTTTATAATTTAATTTATTCCAGTAATTTTAATGATGAATTTTCAGCTTCATTACTCCATTCTTTAGAGCAGGGGTGCCCAAACTTTTTCGTATGAAGTGCCAAAAACCAAATATCATTAAGAGCCAAGGGCTGAAGGTAACTATACCAAACTATATTACATTAAAGTTGTCATGGGTAATTTCATAATTTATTTAATAATATTTAAAAATAAATAGAAAAACATTATTTTAAATCATATAAACTAATGCAGTACAAGGTTTTTAAATATAACCTATTTTCAATAAAAACATAAACTATCACATTTATAACACAGTGAAGTTCAATGGTAAATATAGAATCTGCCTTTGACTTGATTTGCTCACCAAATTCTCTGCACTGTCAGGTGACAGAAAATAATCTCACTAATTTAAACCATGTAATTGAAACATTTAATATCCGTTATCTCTTTACATTAAAAACAAACAAACAAAAGGCTACATTTAATTGACACTGACAATCTCAAAACCATCCCCATCATTCCCCCTGTCTTCTCAGCTGGGATGGTGAGCCAAATCAAGTTACTATGGGCCAACTTTGGCCCGCGGGCCCTAGTCTGGGCATCTTTGCCTTAGTCACATGATCCTTCAGAAATTATTCTAATATTAATTATTATTAATATAATAATTATTATTATTGGGAATAGTAATAAAAGCAATAATGACTGGAGTAATAATTTCATTTAAAACTGCATGCAATGAGAAAGCAGTTATTTACAATTTGAATAAATATTTTACAAATTTAACAACTTTTTACATTTAATAAATGGTGCCTTGACAAACAGATTAATTATCTTAAAAAAAATTATAATAAAAAAACTGACCCCAAACTTTTGACCGGTAGTGTATACATAAAACTAATACAATCTACCACTATTCTAATTTAACAGTTATAGAATGAAATGTACAAACTGAAAACAATTACAGTAAAACTATGATGAAAGACATTTATATTTGAAAGCACAAGAACAGTTCTAATCGAAATCTCCCATCAAGGAAATAAAAAAAGAATTAAGAAAAGCAACGTTTAACCTGAAAAACAACTGGTAAAGTTGTGGAAATGTCTCCGACTAGCTGCTCGATAATATTTTCTGTACCTTCACCTTTGATTCATTTAAAGCAAGTCTATCTAAAATCCATCAATTGCTTGCATTCACATTTTCCTAAATAGATCTGTCACAAACTCACTGTGATATCAAAAAAGATTAGAGGGGATCACATGATGCTTCGTGCGACAAGACGTGTCTGACAGAGCTCCTCGTCATATAGCTGAATCTTTACTAAACAGTCGTCCTAATTGCTTTGAGAGTTCCCAGAATTGAGAAGTGATCAAGATGTCTCTTGATGCTATTTGGTCACAATCAGATTCAACTAGTAAACAAGCTAGAAGTAAAAAACACCAAAACAAGAGCACTATTGTGGAGCAAGATGCCGATTATCCGGGCTCATCGGTTTCTAACAACAAAGTTATTGAATGACGCAGTTAACCAATTAGTCGAAAAGGAGTCGATTGTTCTTGAAAAGAAGTTACAGGCAATACGCAATCCAATATTCAAGATATCAGGCAATTTGGAAAGTATCATCAAGAGAGTCATCCAGGCCGAGCAGGGAATATCGGACCTTGAGGATAATCAAGTTAACAGCTCAACGTGCCTCGGATCTATCGAGACATCCCTGCAAAAAGCACTCGAACGTCTAATGTATAAAACCAGCTTTCTTTAAGACTTGGCGGAGGAGTGGTGAAAATTGTGAGAAGCAGGATTTAAATATGCCTTCATTTACCCTGCCACTATAAGAGTGTTCAAAGTAGCCGGTAAGAGCCCAGACATGTCCACAAAAATAAGAATTTTTTGAAAAGCTTAAAAGAAAATTCACAGTTGAAAACAACTCTTTAAATATAGTTTCATGTATAAAACTTTAAAATTTAATGTTCTTTATTATTGTTTTTGTTGAAGTTTGGGTTAAAATAAATCACAGTGATGGGGATTTCATCACGGTACATGCGTGCCAAATCGCTAGACAGCGCCAGCATGGTTGCCAGTCTCTCTCAGCAAAACAAGAAGACTATTGTCGAGCAAGATGGCCATAATCCGGACCCGACTACGTTATCGGATGACTGCTTATTTGTTTAGTCGAAAAAGTGTCGATTGTTCTTGAAAAGAAGTTACAGGCAATATGAAATCCAATTTCCGAGATATCAGGCAAGTTGGACAGCATGATCAAGAGAGTCATCGAGGCTGAGCAGAGAATACTGGACCTCGAGGAAAATCAAGTTAACAGCTCAACGTGCCTCAGATCTATCGAGACATCCCTGCAAAAAGCACTTGAACGTATAGAAGACCTTGAAAATAGAAGTCAGAACCTCAAAATCGTCAGTCTCAAAGAGGGCACTAAAGAGGGTGACCTGATAGCTTTTTTTGAGACTTGGATCCAGACTACATTGAATATGAACGCAAAGGATGGACGGATCAAATTGGACAGAGCACACCACACTAGACAACTTCATGAAGATCTGAGAGCGCGACCCGTGATCATCCATTCTGCACAACTATAAGGACAAAAGACTGATCCTAGAAGCAACAAGATGTCTGGGTGACCTCTGTATCGAGGACAAAAGAAAAAGTGTTGTTTTTTTCAAGATTTCTTAGACATTGTGCAGAAGAGAGCGGAGACGGCAGAGGCGTGGCGATGATTACGAGAAGCAGGATTTAAATATGCCTTCATTTACCCTGCCACTATAAGTGTTCAAAGTAAGAGCACATATATATATATATATGTCTACAAAAGAATTAGAATTTTTTTTTAAATGCATAGAAAAAAAATTTCACAGCTGAAAACAACTCTTTAAATATAGTTTCATGTATAAAACTTTAAAATTTAATGTTCTTTATTATTGTTTTTGTTGAAGTTTGGGTTAAAATAAATCACAGTGACTGTGATGTCATCCCGGTACATGCGTGCCAAATCGCTAGGCAGCGCCAGCATGGTTGCCAGTCTCTCTTGGTCCATCTCTCCATACTCATTGGTGCCCAGTGCATGGCGAATCAAGTGTGTGGCTGCGTTTAGATCCAAAGCAGGGGTAGCCCTGGCCCGTCGCCGTAGCAGCAGCTGGTGCATCTGTCCCAAGTTGAGCTGCCTAGCGGAAACAGGAGCCTGCAGATGAACCCCTGTCAAATGTTCCGCCACAAGCCTGACCGCCTCATCATTGCTCATCTCATCCCAGAGTCCATCGGAAGCCAAAATCAAGAAGCGGTCCTGTGGCCGCAGCCGGTGGTGGGTGACTTCTGGTGTGACCTCCAAATAAGGCGGGGTGAGATAATTAGGTGGAGCATATTGATAAATATTCAGAGCCTCTAAATCCGAGTCTCCATTCTCCAGAACGCTCTGCTGTAGCTCACGACTCCACTTAAACCGCACATCACCAAAAGCACGCAACGGCATCAGGACTCCGAGCAACCGGTCATCTACAACCACAGTTTGCCGTTCGCTAGCCGGGTGCTGCCGCCATACCCGTTCCATCTCAGCCACGTTGGCAGCGTTGTGATCTTTTGTGAGAGGCAGAGCACTCCAGCTCCCATCAGTTTCCTGGACACCCAAAACCGCCCGGCAGTCTCCTGCATTGGCAACATGCACCCCCTCTGGTCCAACATGAGCAACGCAGGCCGTGCAGCCAGCAAAGGCAGCCTGGAGGGCGGTGTTCCTCATCAGGTCATTTGCAAGTGGCACCTGTGCCTCAAGAGACAGATCTGTGTCCAGTCTTTGAAAAGCATAGCTGAGAGCATCTGCAGGACGCATGCCGTCACCGTGCTCTTCACTTGCCAGAAGCTCCTGCCAAAAAACACGCAAATGATCAACATAGAGAGCTGCAGACTCCCTGTAGTTATAGTCATTGTGGTGTTTATACCACTGCAGGATAGGCGGAACGGGGCGTGAGGTCTCCATGGCAGCTTCTAGATCCTCCAGGACAGACTCTGCCATCATCGCTACAGAAATGTAATAGGGCAAACGCTCGCTGACCGCTTGAGCACACGCGTGTCCGCCGTGTCCATCAAACACACCGAAAAGCATGCTACGAGTCTGCAAGCTGCTGGCACTGCTGCGCCGGTCCTCAAGCGGGGTGTTGGCTGGAAGTTGGTTACTTTCGAACCTCAGCACCGGACTGGGACCACCACGGCCATCGAACTCTGGAACGCGAACAGATTGTTCATTGGCACGCAGGACTGCGTTGATCTGCAGCCGGCTCATCTGAAAGTCCATTTCATGTCTTGGAGGATGCAGTCTGTTCTCTCCTTCCTGCCCTGAGCTTCCATCTGATCGACCACCACGAGAGGAGAAACTCCGTGCTGGAGAAGAGAAAAGGAGGGCTCTACATGCCACATCAGGTAAAACATGTTGACTGGCTGCAAAGGAACTGGACAGATGTCTTCCTCTAGTGCCTAAGAGGAGCGCTGAGCGCAAATAACCAGACATCACTGCCTGGATGCAGTGTCTGAAGCAGTCTACAACTCCAGCATCTGTGAAAACACAATGCGAGACTACAATGATTAATCTTAAACTGATAGAAAAAAAAAATCACAGTAAATGATTGAGGTAAAGTAGGTTTTATATTCACATATTTGTTCCTTTTTGAACAGTGAAAACCTGTCAAAGTCGATATATTGTTTACAACGCTACTTTGAATATTGGGTCTGAAATCACATGCAAGTATGACTTCAAAACAACAATAGCACTGTTTAATTGACTGAACAATGTTGTACTTTGATAGTCATTGGCTGCTAATATAATTTCCCCATTCAGAATTTGAAAAGAATACGTTTCTGAAATTTTATTAAGGAAAAAGTCAGAATGTGCGGATATAAAACCAACTTTACCCGTCAGTAAATGCACATCAAATCCATTTTTGTTCATTCAATGCAATTCTTGTTGCTTGCTATTTTAACAGTCTAATAAATCTTGAATCTCGTTTGTGTGTCACTTTGGATAATAACATAAGCTAAAAGCATAAATGTAAAACCAACAGACTCAAGTCATATGACAAAAATTAAGAAAATTAATAGTACATAATACAAAATCTTCTGAAATAATCATAGATCAAGTAAATGATTAAGTGTATCTATATATGTTGACCATATCTGCATAGTAATAACATTATAGCTATATTTGTGAGGGTCAAATTAATAAACATGTACATGCATACAAACACAAACTATTGTTTTAAACCATTATTATAGTTTGAAACCTGCCGGCTTCCATGTAAACTGATTGATTTATTGGTTCATTTTACAATTGAAATCTATTTGTCTGCATATTTGCGTGACATAAGCTGTATTTTGTAATTGTCAGTGGAACAATTTCTTCAAAATTCAGTATTAATAAGAGAAAATGTAGTAAAGAAATATTAAAACAATTAATAAGATGTTCAAATTAATTATTAGTTAAATAATCCTCTGAAATACTCATAGATCAAGTAAATTCTTTAGTGTAAATATCTATGTCAGGGGTGTCCAAACTTGGTCCTGGAGGGCCGGTGTCCTGGAGAGTTTATCTCCAACTTACTTCAACCCACCTGCCAGGAAGTTTCTAGTATATCTAGTTAGTAAGAGTATGATTAGGGTTGGAGCTAAACTCAACTAGACAACGGCCCTCCAGGACCAAGTTTTGACACTCCTGATCTACGTTGACCATATTTGCATAGTAATGATATAGCTTTTTCAAATAAGTTAGGGTCAAAAGAAACATGCACATGCATATAAAGACAAATTATTGTTTTAAACCATTATTACAGTATGTCGACTTACCTGTATATTGACTGATTTATTGATTTATTTTACAATTTAAATCTATTTGTCTGCATATTGGCGTAACAGAAGCTGTATTTTGTAATTGTCAGTGAAACAATTTCTTCAAAATTCAGTATTAAGAGTATTACTACTTAAATGTAGTAAAAATTAATAAGAAAGTTAATAAGAAAATGTTTAGATTAATTTAGAATTACAAAATCTTCTGGAATACTCATAGATCATGTAAATGTTTAGTGATCGTACGTTAATCATATTTGCAAAGTAAAAACATCATAGCTTCCTCATATCCGCGAAGTTCAAAATAATAAACATGTACATGCACACAAACCCAAATTACTGTTTTAAACTATTATTACAGAATGAAACATGCTAGCTTAACAAGCTAACCAGCCGGCTTTCGTAAGAATTGAAACATTTATCGTTTCGTTTAACAATTTAATTGTATTTTTCTGCATACTTGCGTAAGAGAACGTGTATTTTATAATAGTCAGTGCAACAATTTCTTCTAAATGCAGTATTAATAAGAGTAAATGCTGAGTCAATACACACACCCACCTGGCACTGCTCGGTGAAATGTCTTCTTCTACGTCCTGCGGTGTGGAAACGTACAGCCACCAGCGCCCCCTTCAGTCATGTATTTACTTCATAGATTTCTCCAGAGACTAAAAAAAACATTTCTTTAGTATCCAAACTAACCGTAGAGGCATACCATACATCAAAAATAAATTGTATAAACGAATTAATGCCTAATAAAATCGATTCTTAATGAACCAATCCGTTTTCACGTCTCAAACCACGAGGCGATTCCAAAGCGAGGCGGGAATTTAAATTCTTCCGTTGAGCTGCCGTTAGTCCATCATAAAACAACAAATGCTACGAAATTGTGGGATTTCGACGACTGTGGTCTCATTTGGCACTGCTAACAATCTTGAATCTATGTATTAAGCTTGTTTCGTAAATATTTTAGGACTTGGATCGTTGGTGTAAAGGTAACGTTAATCGTAAAATTAAAAAGAAGTATATTGTTGTTTATTTTCAGTGTAACATTACGATATTATTATAACAACATTTGTGATGTTTTTTTTTTGCAGGGTAACTTAGTGACACTTCGATGGAAAACATTAGCTGATCAGTACGAAAATGAAAAATGGAAGGTCAGCATCATATTATGTAACGTACAATTAGAAGGGAGAGTTATGGCAAATTAAACAAATCAGCACATTAATTAATAATATTACACAATGACTCTATTACATATTTACAATGACCTTGCATATCACACGGGAAACATCTTTGCAAATAATTTTATTTATTGACAACGTAGTTGTGTGCACTAGAATTTTTAAAATGTTTTTTATGACTAATAAATATCATCATGAGGTTAACTTTAATGTTTCCATTTCTAGTAAGTTTTTAACGTTAAGTTTTCTGGTTTATTTTTGTTAAAATGCGCTTGGTTTTAAGTTTTTTGCCATGTTTAACTTTATATATATATATATATATATATATATATATATATATATATATATTTATGTTATATACACTCACTGGCCACTTTATTAGGTGAATAGTACCGGGTTAGACACACTTTTGCCTTTCAACAATAAGGTACTGGAAATATTCCTCAGATTTTTTGGTCCATATTAACATGATAGAATCACACAGTTGCTGCGGATTTGTCAGCTGTACATTAATGATGTGAATCTCCCGTTCCACCACATCACAAAGGTGCTCTATTGGATTGAGCTCTGGTGACTGTGGAGGCCATTTGAGTAAACTTATTGTCATGTTCAAGAATCCAGTCTGAGATGATTCACAGTTTATAACATGGTGCGGTCACACTGGAGTTTGAGCTTGCGAAATTCTGTCATACAGCGCTGTGAAAAGAGGTGGGATTAAACAAGATGATTAGACATTTAAAAAAAGCGAGCGATTGGTCCATGTTTTAAATTACTGTATATAGAGGTCATGTTTTGATTCTTGGTTGGTCTCACGCAATCATATGATTTGATTTCGCAGGTCAGAGTTCAAGCTTGAACTTTACAACGCAGCAAACTGCGAAACTTGCCGCATGACCTTACGTTTCCGCTCTGACGCATTCGCGTGCATATTAATGAAAGTCTATGGGGAGAAAAGTGCAGTGTGACTGCAGCTTTATCCTGCTGGAAGTAGCCATCAGAAGATGGGTCCACTGTGGTCATAAAGGGATGGACTTGGTCAGCAACAATACTCTGACCAAATTCTGGCCTGACCATCCAAATGTCGCAGCAGAAATCAAGACTCATCAGACCAGGCAATGTTTTCCAATCTTCTATTGTTTAATTTTGGTGACCCTATGCAAATTGCAGCCTCAGTTTCCTGTTCTTAGCTGACAGGAGCGGCACCCAGTGTGGTCTTCTGCTGCTGTAACATATCTGCTTAAACTTGGACGTGTTGTGCGTTCAGAGATGCTCTTCTGCATACCTCAGTTGTAACGAGTGGTTATTTGAGATACTGTTGCCTTTCTATCAACTGGAACCAGTCTGGCCATTCTCCTCTGACATCGGCAAGGCATTTGCACCCACAGAACTGCCGCTCACTGGATTTTTTTTTCTACTTTTTTTTTCAGACCATTCTCTGTAAACCCTAGAGATGGTTGTGCCTGAAAATCCCAGTAGATCAGCAGTTTCTGAAATACTCAGACCAGCCCGTCTGACATTAATAACCATGTCACATTCAAAGTCACTTACAGTAAATCCTCTTTCTTCCCTATTGTGATGCTTAGTTTGAACAGCAGCAGATCGTCTTGACCATGTATACATGTCTTAATTCTTTGAGTTGCTGCCATGTAATTGTCTGGTTAGAAATTTGTGTTAGCAAGCAATTGGACAGGTGTACCTTATAAAGTGGCCGGTGAGTGTATATTGTATTGTATTGCACAATACTCATCAATTGTACAGATCCAGTGATGTATTTTGCTTTCTAAGCTGAATGATTTCACATTTCCAGCTACCAAGACAGATTTGCGTCTTTTGCTGGAATGTCTGAAATACCAGATGAAATGGCCTGGCTCACAGAAACAAGCTCTTCTCACTATCATCTCAATCTGCAAGCAAAATGGTTTGCTTTACAGCTCAAAATATAATCAAATCAAACAGAAATACAACTTTTCTTACACAAACATAAAATTAAATATACTATTGTGCAGTTTAGTTATTGTTTTTTTGTATTTCAGATCAGTATGTTGAGTTCCTCAGAGAGATCGGAGGCATTTCCTTCATCTATAACCTATCAAAATCCAGTACTTTCTCTCAAGTTAAAGAGACTGCACTATTTACACTTGCATCTTTGGCTGAACTGCATGGTATGTGTTTGGTTACATATGGAAACAGTTAAGAGAGCACTTTCAAATAATTCAAATAATTTCTTATGTATTTACGCTGTGTCTGAGTGCAGCGTATTTTTGTTTTATTTTATAAGCAACAGATGATAAGTCCTCCAAATTTAAAATAAAAATGAATATTTTAATTTTTATTGCATAAAATAACAAAAAGTGCCATGTTTTCAGACACGTTTTTTAGTTTTTAGATCCATTTTTCACTTTTTAAATATTCAGAAATAGTATATATTGGAATGACTCTGGCTTTTGGCATGAAATGAAAACAAACATGTCTGATTACAAACATATTTTCTCCTGCAGAGAGCTGTAAACAGGCACTGTGTAGAGAAGAGATGTTTCGAGACTTTGTGCAGCATCTGGAACAGGAAATGCCTCTGACGGAGAAAAGAGTCGCAGTGTACATGCTGTCTGTATTGGTTGCCAACAACAGTAAGTCTCACCATAAAACTTGTGTCAAAACTCAGAGGCCATTTCTATGTGTATGTTTTTTTCAAAGTTGGACAGGTTGTCTGGTCAGATTATTATTTCACAATTGTGTGTACTGTTTAAGGCAAAATGATCTTTTGTTATTGTAAAAGTGCTGTTTAATGGAGAGAAATACATTTTAAATATAATAGTTTCATAATTTCTTTCTAAATTACAGTTCTTATAAGTTGTTGTTTTAATAAATTATATTTTAATAAAAACATCTGAGCAAAAATAAGATTTTTACTTATTATTTTTTGATAACTATTTTATTTTGTCTTTGCCTTTATGACAGTGCATAATATTCTACTAGTTATTTTTTAAGATACTAGTATTTAGCTAAAAGTGCAATTTACTATGTTAATTAGATTAACTAGGCAAGTTACTTTAATCAAGCAAACCACTGAACAACAGTGGTTTGTTCTGTTCCTATTAGATCAATAGAAATTATATTAGAATTAGAAATATTACATTTATTAGAAATATTTCTTAAGCGGGCTAATAATACTGACCTTAAAAAATCATTTAAAAATTAATAAATGAAACTGATTTTACTGCAGTCAAACGAAAAAATTAAGACTTTCTCCAGAATAACATAATTATAATAGGAAATGCTGTATAAAATGTCCTTGCTCAGTTAAACATCACTTGAGAAATATTTAAAAAGAATTAAAATTTCACAGGAGCGTTAATCCATTTACCTTTAACTGTATGTGTGTTTTGCGTTCTAGGATGTGGACAGACTCTTGCTAAGACCTCCAGGTGTATTGAAGCCTTACTCCGATTGTTCAGGTATGCATAACATTCAGATAATGTTCCACTTTTTGGCATCAATAGCAATCAGTTTAAATGTGTGATGTTAACTTAATCAATTTATTTTGCTTTATCCTTTTAACACTCTAAGACAGTGCATTCCTGGATGAATGAAAACATTCACAAACAGATGATAAACACTAAGATGTGAATGTATTTCAAATTCTTTCTGGTGTTTTATTGAAGTGAATCTTTAAATACAGAAAAGCATATGAACACCTATTTAAAATATTACCCTTTTGCTTAACAACCAGATTCTATTTGTTTTCTTTATGCCACTCTTTAGGCAGAGTTTTCCAGTTCCTGGTGAGTCTTATGAGCAGCTGCAGTTGTGGATCACTGTGTCTAGTGCGCTCTGTGGCTCTGTCAACAACCCTCAAAATGGTACGGGCATCTTTCTACCCCTTTACCATTGTTTACACATACACCTATATATACAGGGGTTGGACAATGAAAGTGAAGCGTCTGGTTTTAGACCACAATAAGCCATTAGTTTGGTGTAGGGTCGCTTTTTGTTACCAATACAGCATCAATTCATCTTGGGAATAATACTAAGTCCTGCACAGTGGCTGGATGGATTTTGAGGCATTCTTTTTGGAGAGTTGTGGCCAGGTCACCCCAAAGTGGCTCAATAATATTTAGGTCTGGTTATTGTGCAGGCCATAGGAGATGTTCAACTTCACTTTCGTGTTTACCAAACCACTCTGTCAACAGTCTTGCTGTGTGTATTGGTGCATTATCATCTTGATACACGGCACCGCCTTATATGTATATGTATATATGTGTGTGTGTGTGTGTGTGTGTGTGTGTGTGTGTGTGTGTGTGTGTGTGTGCAAATACATATTTTCACAACCTGATTGTTTTTATTTCACAGAGGAGAATCAGAACGTGTGTATGAGTGTTTTTCCTGAGATAAAGCCCTGGCTGCAAGAAGTGGCATTACCCAGGGCAGAGCTGGCACAACCCTTATGCTCATTTATT